ATCTCACTTGTTCTTTATTTATATTACCAAGGTCCAGGTGACCAAACCCTGGTTATTTTTTTTTTTTATTATTATTTATTTATTGTCTATTTATCTTTATTTATTTTTATGCATTATTCTGTATTTCGTGTGTATTACTTTGTGTACTCATGTAATTATTAGATATATATTTTTTCTTGTTCGTATTACAACGGCATGATGCCATGATCCCGCTTTATTTTTTTTTCATGCTGTTATTGAATATGTAGATATTTTAATACAATATATACCTAGCCACTACCTACCTAAGTACTTATTTTGTATTCTTAAATTAAAACTTATATTAATTGTATATACTTACATATTATATATATATATATTATATTATTTGTAGTTTATCAAAATATAAATGAAAGACGGCGTCAGCACGGACAAGCGAACAGCTATGACGCGATAATATAGGACGTATGACGGTATCGATGGGTGGTCGACCGTCTATAATAATATAAGATTATATCTGTATTACTGTATATAATAATTAATTACGTGTGTTTCGTCGTGAAGTGTATGTAACTGCCGACTATTTCGAACGCGGTTGTCATTCTGGATTATGGTTTTTCCTTCGCGGTTTTTCCACTGTGACTGTGGCACTGTATACAATTAATAAGCAACCTAATAATATTATTCTATATATAATATAGCGGCGACGGCGCACGACGCCGTTATCGCGTAACCATTATTATTATTAATATACAATCATATATTACATGGGTTCTCAACCTTTTGAGGTCCACGCCCCCTTTCAAAATATTTTATGAATTCATGCCCCCTCCCCCCCTCTTCACTGGTATAAGATTGATGTGAAATCGTAATATTTTTTGCGGGTCACCAAAACTTGTTCTTATCGCGTCGAGTGTCGGTTTTTCGCCGAAACAATGCTTCTATTAATATCCAGAATACTAAAGAGCATAAATATATGATTTGTATAATCTTATAAAATCATAATAATCGCTCGGTGAATGTCTATTGATCGACCCCGGCGGCGATTAACACACCAGCAATGCACGGCGTAGAAAACGGCAACGTTTTCATTTTTCGTATTCTTTTTCAACATTTTCACGCCCCCCCTGAAATTTTGTCACGCCTCCCTAGGGGGGCGCGCCCCCCAGGTTGAGAACTCGTGATATATTATATTATAATTCTTCAACTATACAAAATAAATATAATTTAAATCCTTAGACTATAATATAGTGTTGCATAATAATATGTCATTATTGATTATTCGTAGTCAATGTATAAGATATAATTATGTAGGTAGGTAAGGGTAGGTACTAGTGCTGATTGCTGAGCATTATTTTGGCCAATCCGGATTATGGATTACAATTATTTAATCCGAATTTCGGATCTATCCGTTTTATCCGGATTCACGGATCCAATCCGTTGATTCGGAAATTGATGTATAATATTTGGTATGAATTGTTTTTAAAATGTTTTGATCATATATGGGTTTAAATATTTGATTTTCAAATATTTTCAAAACATTGATGGAAAATTGATATATAATATTTGATATGAATTGTTTTGAAAAGATTTTGATCATATTTGGGTTTAAATATTTAATACCCAAATATTTTCAAAACATATTATGGAAAATTGTTATATAATATTTGGTACACAATGTTTTGAAAATGTTTTGATTATATTTTGATTTAAATATTTAAAGATCAAATATTTTCAAAATAATTTTACAATATTCTAAAACCAATATTTACAATGAAACCTAATTCAAATATATTGAAAATATTATTATTTTCAAAATGCTGTGTGGGAACATACATTTGTATCGGACGGCTACCGCAACAGAACTGAATCAAATCATTAAATCAAAAATAAGATATATTAAATTAATTGTTCTACTATTATTATTTTAAAAACATTTTTACTTACAATAAAGACCCAACATTTTTAAAACTAAGAAAATCTTATAATTAAGTTAAAACTATTTTATTTTAACTAATTATTCAATTTTAATTATTTTAATAGCTGTTTTACTTAAAACAAAATTATATGGTCTTTAAAAATAAGGAAATTAAATCATAAAATTAAAAAGTATTGATTTGTAATCAATGATATTCTTATTATTAAAATGAAGGGCATTTATTTTGTTTTAAAATGTTTAGCATTTAATATTTTTGTACATGCTTAAGTCGACACGGCATCCATGCCGAAATCTGACCATACACGTCCGAATTAAACACCGGATCTTTTACGGATGAAAGAGGGTTGCTTAGCTCGATGAATACAATTTATATGATTGTTGCAACAAATGTAATTATAATAATAATATAAAAACGTGCGTCGTGGACGTATTAACAAGAAAAAAAATTAGATAGAATTAATTAATAATAATAATAATAATAATAATAATACATATAATAAGCCACTACGGCACGATAATTTACTAAAATATGACACAAAAAAATATAATAAAATCAAGACGCCACACGTTACAAGGTGTGACGATAATACCTTAGGCGGCTGGGTGTTCGATTGGTTGCGTCTACGCGACCGCGCTTAGTACGTGTGACGAACACTAGAGCCGATGGTTGACTTCTTCGACAGCAAAGTGTAATTTGTTCACGGATAGAGCCGGCAATCTTGTGTACAGCAAACTGTTACTGGTTCTTAGCATTCGAATGTCGACTACAAAAATGAGTACGCAATGTGGTCGCACAGCAAAACCGCATTGAAAGTTGCAGGCGTACTAACTAGCATTTTGGCGATGAAGTGGATTTTTTCCGGTCCGACCATAATAAAAATCGGTTGTCTGTAAAGTCGGTTTACTGACGATAGTTGAACGTGACAACGTTTTAAGAAAATACTGATGGAATGGTAGCATTTTTCAAACGAAAATTTTAATTTAATTTGTTTAATAGATTTGTATGTATATAGAGAAGGAGGTAAATGGAAATAAATAAATGCAGTAGATTAGTGAAATATGACTGTTGTTATAATTCTTATCATGAAACTTCTTTAGGCCTGCCCAAAAATATAATATATAAATATATATAACTGTTAACACTTCAAAACTTAAAAAATAAACGTTTTCGTGGCACACGTATATTTAAAATTTAACTAAACACTATTATTTTATGTGCGTTTTACGAACAGATACGTAAATGTGACACATTCAATTTTTTTGAAAATTCTTTAATTAAATAGGCTTAAACAAAAATAATTGGTTCATAATTGAGACGTAAATTAAACTATTTAATATATAATTATAACAATGTAGAATGTTCATAATTACTATTATATTACTGTTATAATAAAGCTGTAACTATTGTTTTAGCCAAACTTAAAACATAATAAAAAATCGTTTAATCAAACGCTATCATTTTATGTATTAATATGGAGGATATATATATGTTATCTGTATACTAAAATAACTCAGTTATTATATTTCCACGGATAAAACTAATTATACTCTATATAACCGATGTAATAATCGTTGAATAAAAACTAATAGCTAAGTAAAAAACGGAAAAATAATACGAAAAATATTTGTCCGATACCGAGGCTCAAACTCGAGATACTGTGTTTGAAATCTTATAAAAGTGCCACTGCACAAGAGAAATCTTCAAGCCTTAAATGGAACGCCTCAAAGCGAGATAGCGCCACATGAGTCATGTTTTTTTCGTGCGTGCAGCCGGCTCTATCGAATTATAAGACGTTGTCACCTCAATAAAGGTGGTGATAGAATGTTCTCGAAAGAACCATATATCCATGCCACTGGTCAAACTGGTCGGTGTACGACAAAGTTTATCGCTTGGAAATGTTTGCGCGAACAGTTTTATATATATATATATATATATATATATATTATATGTATGTTTTAAACAAAACAAAAAATTCTGAAAAATAACTATAATAAAGTATAAAGATATTAAAACTTAAAAAATCGTTTATTGTACATGTTCTTACTAAAAAATGTACAATTTTTCAAAATAACAACATTAAATATGAAATTATGAAATATAAAATATGAAATTTTCATATTTTTCAATTAGGTGATTATATAAATAATATCAAATAAATAATAAATAATTATACATAGTTATATGAAATTATACAATACAAAATAAGGTAGTAATTTAAATAAACAATTATCTTATAAGAAACTAGCTGAATTACCCGTCGTTGGCGGGTTTAAGTATATAAATGTATGTAACCTGCCAAGATTAAATTTTGTTAAATCTATTGAAATTTAAATTAATTAAGATTTTTGAAACAATATTTTATACATATTAATTTAGTTTTTAAGATAATGATTATTATCATAACCTATTCAATAAGTTATAGCTTTTGGCGGCAGCTTTGTTCACGATAAATTTTAGCACTAAAGGTTCAAAATAAATGTTTTACTAATAGTTTTTCAATATGTTATCTTCAAAACTTCTTTGTAGACAATGTTCTTCACTGATCTATTAGTAGGCGACAAAATCACCAAGCTACTGAGTGAGCTTACGCGTGAGTAAGCTACGTAGAACTGCCCATGTGAAAAACAGTTTTCTCGCAAATCTATTCCTGCAAATTTAAGAGTTTGGCCTTGAGACTTGTTTATAGTCATTGCAAAACAGACTTTCAGGGGAAACTGTAATCGTTTAAATTCGAACGGATGATCATTCGGAATTAAAGGGATTCGTGGTACAAACACAGTTTCCCCTTTTGCACATCCTGTTAAAATTGTAGCTTCTACTATATTGCGATGTAAAGCTTTGACTTTAAGCCTGGTCCCATTGCACAGTTTAGGCGGTTTCAAATTTCGCAACAACATAATAGGTGTGCCCACACGCAGAATAAGCCTATGATATGGCATGACCGGTGGTTTAAATGAATTTAAAAATTCAACCGGATAATTAGTTGCATCGTCCATGTTGACCAACGTATCTATAGAAGTATATACTTTTTCTTCCCCTTTAAAAGACATCAGCAGCGTATCATTGATAACCGCCGCTTGGTCATTTTTTGAAGTGAGTATAGTATGTTCACACAACCATTCCATAGGATTATCATGAATATGAGCAATATCTGGATAAATTTTTGATATTAAATCCTGAACCGCAGTTACAACTGTTCACAAATTTTCTGGGATAGTTATCATTTCATCAAACGATGGATAATCACCATTGCCAATTTCAAGTAAAAGATCTGAAAATCCACCAGCAAACTTTTCCTCTCCCAAGTGTACCCTCATATTTTTTGACAGTTTGAGTATATTAATCTTAGGCCATAAAGTAGATCTTTTAAGACATGACTTGACTTCATCAGTTCTGGTCCCTTTTGGTACTACTGGTAGAGTCTGCCTAAAGTCTCCAGCCAGTAAAACCGTTACACCACCCATTAACCTTTTATTTTCCCTTATATCCTTTAGAGATCTATTTAAAGCCTCAACACCACCCTTATGCGCCATGGTAATTTCGTCCCACACTATTAATTTTGTATCTTTTAAAACTTCCGCAAAATTACTTTGTTTTGATATATTACAAAAGGGAGTGGCCGAAGTTGTTAGATTGGGTGGTAATTTGAAGGTAGCATGGGCCGTTCGACCACCCTCGAGCAGTGTTGCTGCGATTCCAGAAGATGCTACAGCTAAGGCAATGTCGCGAGTACTTCTAACTTTCGCTAAAATCAAATTGGTTAAGAAAGTTTTTCCAGTTCCACCTGGAGCATCTAAAAAGTATATTCGACCCTCATTATTATTAACACTTGTAATAATTTGATTGTAAGCAAACTTTTGTTCGTCATTCAGAGATTCTTCATTATTTCTTACGATGTCTTCTAAGGCTACTAAGTCATAACTTGTTTCCTAGAGATACTCTCTATTATCAAATTGTTCAGATTTGCTTGGCTGAGTGGCTGACCACCTAATGCTAACACGGAATCTTCTATTATCGATAAGCATTTGTTCAACGCTACGTCCGCTAAGTGTTCTGCATCCACGGAATCCTGTCGTTCTAATCGTATTTTAAAATCTTCAGACAGGTATTCTTTGAATTTGTCCCAAAGATATAAGGGATCTGTTACTTGGCAGAACACTAATATAATCGTAAATAGATCCCGTATCATATGCGGAGATTGGCAAAGTGCTGTCTCTTCTAGTGCTGCGTAGAAATGTTCATCATCTTCAAGTAACCCTAGAGCCTTACACGTGGATTTAAAAGTGGGATATACTTGACCATTTACAGTTTTCAACGCTTCAAACGAAATCGGGCCCCGGATTTCATGGAGAAGCATACGAAGGTGATAACATTCTGTATTGTTTGGATGAACCGTATAAACTCTACCCAGAGCGTGCTCTCTTTTGATATCTGGCCAGCCAATAAAGTTTACTCCTCTCTTCCTTCTTTGAAACTTTTTTTTGTCCCAAACGTAATATGCAGGTACTTCTGGGCAAAGCAAATTTTTTGCAAAGTCATCCACTTTACACAAATTAAAAAATGAGAGAAGTGTAGTTGTAGGAAGACCATTTTATCTGTCATGTAGGTTTTGTTCATTAAAGTAAACCCTTTGTCCATTTTCTAAATGGACAGCAAGGTGAACAGCGGTAGGGAAACGCTCATGAATTGGAAATTCAAGGATTCGCCTCACGGCTTCTGATGAATTTATATATCGTCCACTTTCGTAAGTTTTTATTTCGTCTTTCTCATTTTCTAAGGCAAATGAAGCCTGATCCGAGCCCTTATTTACGTATTTGCACACATATTTTATGGACTTCACCGAACTGCAATATTCCACATTGACGTGAGCGTTACATGTTCTTAAAAGTACTGGATTATAAGGAACTATCCAACGATTATCTATATCTACGCCTTTGATATTAACGGAAAATCCACCATCATCGGTTGAACGTCTCTTGCACTTCGGATAACCGTCATCACCAGTTTGAGTTTCCTTAATGAGATTCTTGGGGTAATGTTTACTGCACGCGTTATCTTTCATACATGGTGAATTTCGATTAAAACAACTACAAGGACCATGAATCATATTACATTCAACGATTTCGTGAAGCTGAGGGTCACTTATGGGATCGGGTATTTCAGCACAAATAACATTGTCGATTTGATCCGGAGTAATATGATGCTGAAGCCATAAAAGAATATGAATATGTGGTAGACCTCTCTTTTGCCATTCTGTTGAATACATATAGCATCTCACTTCTCCGAATATTTTACCTTTTGTCAATAAGTTCATGGTCTTTTTGACTTTTAACCGAAACACTCTCTCAATTATATCATGTCGATCATATGATCTTTGACCGGGAAGTAAGAGCTCTTTTATCTCGTCCCAGCGAGGATTACATGTAAAAGTAATAAAAAGGTTAGGACGACCGTAATGTCTAACGTAGGTCATAGCATCTTGTGTTCTTTCGTGCATGTACCTTGGCCCACCAGTAAAAGTTGACGGGAGTATAACCATTTGGCCTAACTGATTAGCTTCTATGTATCGTCGTCCAATCGTATCTTTTAAATGAATATAACTATCTGCACGCAATTTGGCTTAGTTGTTTTTGATGTAATTTAGTCTTTCAGTTTCAATTTTGGCGTATTCATCTACCAAATATTGACTGAAAATAGAACAATAATTAACTAAATAGTTGTCTTCCCCTTCTCTGACCATTATTCTATATGAGTAAAAATTTGATGCAGAGACTGTTTTTTTAAGCGGTAACTTGGTTTTTGGATCGCGTTGTAGTATATTGATTGCATACCCATCATCCCCCCCAACAAAACATTAAAGGATACTGCAATGCGTCGTATGCTCGATGTATCTCACTGATACGGTGAAGTGAGTTACTTCGGTTTTCGAGGATGATGTCTCTTCGATCAAACTGCTGATCTACTAACACTAAAGCAACTTCATTTGCCGTTGGTGCATTATACCTGCCTCGATGTTCTTCTAGTGGTTTTTTATCTGCATGTATTACAACTTTAAATGACTCTGAAGGAGGTATTTTATCGATGGCACTTTTCAGATCTTTTATATATGGGTTCACTTGATGTAGCATATCCTGCAGTTGTTTGATTAAATTGGGTTTTAAGTTAGGATATTTAGAACACCGAATATTTACTTCTCGTTCTTCTTCACCGACAAAATATATTTGAAAGTACTGTGCGCCCTGTCCGGGTTCAGGTAATATACTTCCAATTAAATGATAGACCTGTCCTTTAACTTTAAAAGTCGGTAAGAAACCGTCTGCTGTTACCTGTTTACCACCAAATGACGTCATTTGAAAACAGGCGTTATATTTTCGAATATTGTTCATGAATTTCACATGATCTGGGTGCAGAGTGTTAACCAAACTGTAGAGAGGTTCAGGTAGTTGTTTTAACTTCTCAAGTTGTACTTTTCCGGCGCTACAACACATACCAAGTGTCTCATCTTTCCATTTAAAAGCGTTGCACCACTGACACTTATAGGTCATAGAACCCAAAGCTACACTGGTATCAGTTCTATATGCAATATCTGGATCATATGCCATACCTGAATGCACCTTGCTTTTCCATAGACGCATAGTAGTATTTTCCTTATACCTAGATTCAGTTTGATTCTGTCTATATTTTTTTTTGTGCTTTTTTTATTTGTATTTTTCTTGTGTAATTAGTAAATCTAGCCCTTCTATTTCAACAGGACGAAATAGATTGATCTGTTTCACTTGATTGGGATAGTGAAATGTTTGCAGAAATGTTACTGTGTACTGAAGATGCAATAGGTGAATGTTCGCGTTCATCGACCAGTTTCTCTATACGACTCTGAGTATTGTTTTCTGTCGCAGTAAGAAGATAAGCATCAAAATGTCCATTGGGCAAATCTTGTCCAAATCGTAAAAGCTTTACTGGATAATCATTAGATCCGGACTCCGTGTATAAGATACCATTTCGATAAACTTTAAAATTAAATGGAAATATACATCCCGCTGCTATAAACTCACAAAGCCCACCATAAGTTTCATTTTTTATCATATCAGCATAATATTCATTGGCCGTTGAATAATTATCACAATTTCTATTGTGGGACATAAATGAAAACTTGGTCCAGTCATTCACCACATATCCAACAATTAGTGATCGCACCTCCATCGCATTGTGTTGTGTTCCGTGTATTAAAAAAAAAAGTGCTCGGAATAAACAGGCACCATCGCCAACAATGGACACAACAGTATGTTGTTCAAGTTCTCCATTAACTAAAAGACTTTCTTTAGCCATTTCTTAGGTAATTAAATTAAACAACGTTAAATTAATCCTCCTAACAACAAAAACCGAATACGGAAAAATCTAAAAAACTAATCCGGCAGTAAGCTTTACTGGTCCGTTTACTGGTCCTTTATCGTACGCTGGGCTATCGCTACGACAACGACAACGACAAAGCGGCCAAGTACATATAATTTAGAGCACGTGGGCATACATTTTATATAAGCAAACGTTTTCGTCACGCGCAGCTATAAATATAATATGTAGGATAATCACAATAAACGACAACGGTGCTACAGCGGCTCCAGTGGCGCCGAACACAGGGTATAGGTCGGGCGGCTGCCCGACCAAATTTTTGGGGTGGTGGTGGTCAATTTGGTGGTTGTAAATAATAATAATATTATACTATACTTCTTAGTGCTTATAGATATATTATTGTTTCATAACATCATAATCAATTAATTCTGTTAGCCATTTTAGAATATATTATATAATAACTATTAACTAATAAGCAATTTCATAAGAATTTCCAATTATATGCAGTAAGACATGTGTAATGTGTACAGCGTAAATAACAATATAATATTGCTATAAATGTATATAATAATTAGTATTATGTGGGTACTAGTGGTACTACGAACTTATGTCAATTCTAATAATTATATTTATTGTATTAATATAGCTTGTCATTATTAATAGATGGTTGGCCCGTGGACGTTGATGTTAATAATATCATGTAACTATGTACGGGAAAAATAAAAAGTCTATTTATAAATTATATTTAGTACGGATGTACTGTGAATAGGTTTTATCAACATTTCATAAGCTACAATAAAATTATTGGCTATGCAAGTGTCCAGTGTGCTTTATGTTATACCCGCAATTGGCGCAATTATTGTTGAACTCTTCAGTCTTCTTAGTTCTTAGTTGTTAGAAAGAAATTGTAGGACGATTTTAAATATTGAACATATTTTGTTACCTATTTTATTTATCTCTGGTGTTATTATCTTTTAATGATTCAAAACAAGATTTTTTTTTGTGGATTGTCAATTTTTATTGCGAAATCTATGATTTAATTTGAATATTAATTACCTAATAGTTTTAGTTTAGACTTGAGTTAAATAGCTAATTCAAATATGTCTAGTGATGGTGAAAAATGTAATTTTTGTAATCGTTTAAGAAATAATTTGAATAAAGTAAATTGGAATCGCCATTTAGCTAAGTGTGAACTTTTATTTTCGACAAAAATAACTAAACCAAACAAAAAATCTAAAAATGATCGATGTAGTGATATTAAATCATTTTTTTCATGTAAAAGACCGAAAACAGAAAATCCTAATTCTGATAAACAGATTCAAATACTTTCAGTCAGTGAAATTTTACCAACTGACATTCCTACTGCAGGTAATTATACAAATTATTTATCTACTTATATTTTTAAAATGTATTAAAATTATCAATTTAGTGAAACTATAAATGTAGGAATTATTGTGATTTTTGATATAACCTATACCCAAAATATAAATTGTTATAAATATATATATTTATATATTAATACATTTTTATTCATTATTTTACAACTAAATTTACTATATAAATTCTTTAAATCCATTAATGACAGAAAAATCGCCTACAGTTTATGAAGACCCTATAGGTTCAAAGGGAAATGCTGAATCTACATGTATTAACTACCAACAAACACCATCGGTCAGTGACATTTTACCAACCGACACTGCTACTACTGGTAACTATAAAAATATTATTTATACCTACTTATAATTTTAAAATGTATTGGCATTTTACCGAATTAAAATTTAAAATTTAAATTTTATTAGAAAAAATACAAAAAGCTACAATTAAAAATACATGTTTTTAATTATAATTTTTGTTGTATATTTGATGTGTTAAAAAATAAATTTTTATTCATTATTTTACAACTAAATTTACTATATAAATTCTTAAAATCCATTAATGACAGAAAAATCACCTGCAGTTTATGAAGACCCCACAGGTTCAAAGGGAAATGTTGAATATACACATATTGAGTATTTAGAGGCTACAAGTAGAGAAAATGATAAACTATTGTGTTTGGAAAATTGTGAATCTACTCAATTAGATCTTTTGGAGGTAAGCAATTATATTTTTGATTAAAAACAATATTGTAATTTTACTAGTAAAAAAAAAAAAAAAATAGATATTGATAACTGTTTTTATTATTTATATAAATACTTAATAAATAGGTAGTATTGTAGTAAGTATTAAGTAGATTGCTTACAATTACTGATTAGTATAAGACTTATTAAAAATATTTTTTCAACCTTGAATTTTGATTACACAGGTTTTCTAAAATGTCTGAGAAATTGAACGTTTTTAAACCAACATTTTTGAATTGTAGCTACCACAATATTGTATAAACTATCAATGGTGGAAAATTTTTTTTGTTTAAGTTATATATTTTTCATATAGGTAAAATGATAATCACTGTTTTTATTTGTTATTTAATGAGTTTTTTATTAAATAATTTAAATAAAAATGAATTCTAGAATTTTTAATTTGTAATACTCATTTACTTAAGTTTTAGGTATATTGAATTCATTTTTATTTAATAATTGTGATGTTTTGCTTAGGAAAATATTAACTATAAGATATTAAACTCAAAATTTAGTATTTTTTTTTGTGTAGTTATTTATTAAGTAGACATAATAATTATTAGATATAAATAAACTTGTTGTAAGAGAATATGTCTGAAGATTTTTTTGAAGTATCAGCAGCCTCAACTTGGAAAAATGATCCCTTTCTGTTCATAAAAATTAAACATTTTACACCAGAAATTATAAGTATGATTGTGGAATGGGGACCATGTCAGCCAACTTGTGATGTTCTACCAAATAAAGAATTTTTAAAAGACAAAGATGGACGGTATTTTCATGCAGGATGGTACTACAGAACTCATACAGATGGAACTAAAACAAGAAGAAACTGGTTAACTTATTCACCATCGCTAAATAAGATATTTTGCTTAGACTGTATTTTATTAGGAAGAAAAACCGTTAAAGCTTGGGTAAAAGATGGATTTTCTCACTGGAAAAATATGGGCATTGCAATAATTAACCATGAAACAACTAATACGCATATTGAAGCTTCATTAAAAATGAAATTAAGGGAATCTGTTTTACCCTTAATTCCATCCTTGGAAGTAAACCAAAAATCAAGTGTAGCTCTTAATAGGGAAATTGTGAAACAACTAATAGATATAACAGTCTTTTTGGGACGCCAATGTTTACCGTTTAGAGGGCATAGAGAACGCTTGACTGATCAACTCAAAGGTAATTTTAAAGACTTGGTACTTCTGTTATCTCAACATTCACCGGCGCTTGCGTCACATGTTTCAACTCTCAAATTAAAAGGACGTAAAGATATATCTTTTATTTCTTGGGATCGCCAAAATCTTTTGATTGAATCTGTATCAGAATACATATCACAAATCGTTCAATCTGATATTATTTCATCAAGAATATTCAGTGTTTCACTCGATTCTACCTTTGATATATCCCGTAAGGAACAGGTTTCTTTTATTATAATGTATGTTAATGAAACTAATGGTACAGTTATGGAAAGATTATTAGCATTAGAAGAATTTCCATGCACCACCGGAGTTCATCTTTCTGAGTTATTTCAAAATGTTTTTAATAATCATATCTTGATTGGAAATCAAATTTAATGGGTCAGTCATATGATGGGGCTGCAAACATGAGTGGGCAGTACAATGAGCTTCAATCTAAAATACTTGAACAAAATCCTCAAGCCCTATTTATTTGGTGTTCTGCTTATAGGTTAAACCTAATAGCTAGTCAGGCAGTAGGATCTTGTTCAAATGCAGTGGATTTATTTGGAAATTTAGAAAAAATATTTACTTTTATCACTGGAAGTAAAGCACGATCAGCTTTTTTAGAGAAAAACAACTAGAATTCTATCCAAAACAACCAATAAGATCTGTGAAACGTGTAAACACTACTCGTTGGATGTCACATGCATATGCCTTAAATACCGTACTTGATGTTTACGATGCAGTTTATCAAACGATAGAAGAAGTAAGAAATAGAGATGGAGGATTGGATTTCAAACTTGGTGCTGATTGTTATGGACTGCTTAGCTACTTGACTTCTTATAAGTTTTTAATGACAGCTCTTAGTTTTAAAAAAATTTTTGAAATACTTGAACCATTAACCCGTACATTACAAGCTCGTGACATAGATATTTTAGCAGCGATGTATTTAGTTAATAGTGCTAAAGATTCCATAGTGGCACTGAGAACTGAAGAAACATTTGAAAATATTTTGATATTAGCTAAAGAATTTGATGATAAATATGAGAATGAAGAATTTGAGCCATTGCAGACAACAAGAAAACGTAGAGTTAGAAAAATGGCTGGTGAATTATGTAGTGATGAAGTTGAACAAAATCCTATTCAAAAGTTTAAGGTAGATACTTATTTTGTAGCATTAGATATTATTAAAACACAAATTAGTCAAAGATTTACAGATAAAACTATTGTAGTAATGAAAGATTTTGCTTTATTATCAACCAAACGTATAAAAGAATTAAAAAAAAACACTAAAAGCATTCCTATAGATGCATTTAAGGCTATTTGTTTGGTGTATAATACATTATTAAAGTTAGAAGATGTCCGTAGGGAGTATGAACAGTTTATAAATTGTGATTTAATTATTAATGAAACATTACCATTGTATCTGGATCCTAATTTGAATTATGACAATTCAAGTTTGAGCTCTAACGATTCAAACAGTGACAATACTACATCTGAACAATTAAAAACGTGGCAAAATTCATCAAGTTTAATGTGTGTTTTTCAAGATTTCTGTAAAGCTGGTCTAAAATCTATTTTCCCAAGTTTATTTATGCTTATAAAAATTGGAGTAACTATTCCAGTATCAAGATGTTCCCCAGAGAGATCTTTTTCCAAATTAAAATTAATAAAAACTCGTTTAAGAAGCACAATGGGGGAAGATAGATTGGAAAATCTGATGCGTATCACCTGTGAAGCTGATATACAATTAGATTCAGAAACAATAATAGACAACTTTGCGACAAAATCTACAGTTTTAAATAAAAAATTAAAATACTAAAATAATCTAGTTATTTTTTGTTAATTTGTTTTTAGTGAAAATTTTACTTTTTACTGTGATGATTATCATTAAAATAATTAAAAATTATTTATTTAAAAATTAAAATTATTTTATTTATTATCTATTTTATTATGTTATACCTAATTAATAACTAATACTACTAATATTTTATTTGTGAAATTCTATTATTCATTATTAGTAACTTACATTATAATGGTATTACAACAGTTTCAAGTTATGTGTACCTATATTATTAATTTTTATAATATATTTAAATAATTTTTAAAGAAATATATAAAAATGTGTGTTGTTGTAAATAGAGGAATATTATTAAGGGGGGTATGGGGGGGGGGCAGAGCATTTTCTTTTGGGTACGTGGTGGGTGTATTGCCTATTTTGGAAAGTTTGCCCGACTATTTTAATACTGTCTCGGTGCCACTGCGCGGCTCTATCCGCCGACAACGCGTTAACGCCGACTTAGGACCTTTAGGTTAGGTTAGTTAGGTTTAATAATACAAATTACATGTAAAAATTTTCTTTTACCGATTTCAACCCTTTAAATTCAAAATTTCTAAAAATCCTTTCTTAGCACACGTCTACATCATAATAGCTATCTGTATGCCAAATTTCAGCCAGATCCGTCCAATGGTTTGAGCTGTGCGTTGATAACAGTCAATCAGCTTACTGTTTTATATATACGGATAATGTTTAACCTAATTACATGATCATTAGTATAACATGGGTATATTATACAGATATATATATATGTTTCAAACAAAATAAAAAATTCTGAAAAATAACTTTAATAAAGTACAAAGAAATTAATAACTTAAAAGTTTAACATACAGGACAAATTAAAACAATGCAATGCATTAAAACTTTAAAAAAATTTTATTTTACAAGTTCTTACTAAAATATGTACAATTTTTCAAAATAAAAATATGAAATATTTTTCAATTACTAGCTTATTATAAATAATAAATATTTATACAGATATATGAAATTATATAATTTAAAATTATGTAATTTATTAAATAAATAATAATCTTATAAGAAATAATGTTTTAACCTAATTACATGATTATTAGTATACATGGGTGTATTATACAGATTAATCGGAGATCCATGAAAATAATTAATGTTTTGTACGGTGTATTCATCTGTTACAGATTTACTTATTCGGTAACATGCTAAATTTTTTTTATAACATATAATATTTAATTTTTTACAAATAACATATACGTTGTTTTTGTTTACACACACAATTTTTTTTTATAATATATGCTGCAAAAGCATTTTCATAAAAAGTAGCAAGTACATGGTTAATATTATATATTGTATTAGCATGCATAATTTTATCATAACATAAAGCTTCATTTGATAAAAATCTATTATTAGCTAAAGAATTATTATTAATTTGCTTCATATATTCAACATATGGAATTTCTTCGCTTAAGGATTTAAAGGAATTTAATATTAAAATTGTATAAAAAATTAGAAAAAAATAACGAATACTTAAAACCAAGTGATATGGGAACATTAATTCTAGAAGTTACATTTGTTGTATATGTTTTTAACTGGCGGTGTTTTGATTCAATGTTGTATGACCATAAATATCTTAAAGGGCCGAATTGTTTGATTATAGAACAATAGTGGGTCAAAAAGTGATGCTTTGGTTTGAGATTATCATTGTATAACTCAACATATGCTTTTATTATATTCTATGTGTTCTTGTAATTTTAAAATTGAACAATTATCAAAACTTGACAGTAAAAATAAGTCTATCATTTCTACAAAGTTGATAAAAAAAATCCAAGTTACATGATTTTTAGGAACTAGATCTCCAATAATTAAAGAAAAAAAATGAATAAACGTTTGCATTTCTCTTGCTGTCATTTAAAATATTATGCTTTTTAAATTATTGTACTTTAATGGTGGGAAAATATTACCAATTTTTGTATTTCCGTAATTAAAATATTGTTTACGGTTATTTATAATATCTAAGTTGAAGTACCCTAGTTCTATTAATCTTAAAATGACATGATTCATAGTATACACACAGATCCCTTCAAATAAATCATGCATTAGGTCTACAACATAATTTTCAAGAACATGAAATTATGAAATACTATTAAATATTGAATCTTCACAAACCCTGTTTGTGCGAAAATAAAGTTTAGCTACATCTTCGTCATAATTATGTTTATTGCGTAAGCTATCAATAACTTCAGTACATAGTGTTGCGTGCCGTCGTTCAATCGTAGAGATGTTGAAGATTTAGGAAAATATTTCAAATAAAATACTCAATCTGATTACTAACTGTTTATTTAAAATTTTTCTAAGTAATTAATTAAAAATGATCTGGCGTGGAGGTGCTCGCTAATACTCGTATAAACTACATCTGAATATTGGTCTATTCCCAACCCCCTTATATACTTAGGTCTCGTAAGAATTGGCCTCGGTAATATCACTATTCGCACATCTCTCATATGCGTTTTTATTAATTGCATTTATTATAAAAATGTAGCCATGTTCGTGATACCCTCGGGTCTTAATTATTCCTTTCTACATTGTTCACCGATTTTAACTATTTATTGGTAGTTTTAAGGACCTACATCTATGTATGTCCGTAACAATAGTTTACCAATAATTGGTTTATCATTTTGACAAAATCGACAAAAATGTAATGCAGAAAAAGATTTAGAAAATCCCAGTACACAATTCAACCTCAAGTTATCACCAATCTCCAACCATAATAAAATATATACTTTTAAACTTTGGTTAGGTAGTTGTATTTCTATTCCAATTGTTTCTAAATCGTTAATTTCTTAAATTAAATTATAAAATGTTCTACCATTACCAATTTGCTTAACATCTTTTGACTTAAATAAAGCAGCAACAAATATATTTTTTAAATTAGAACTTTAAAAGTGTGGAGCCAAAGGAAAATAGTAGTACACTCCTAAAATTGATGAAGAATGTGAACTAAGATGGTTGTTTATTTCAAAGACATCAAAGTATAAGAAATTAGGTATAATAAATTTATCTTGGTACAATGATACTTTTTTTTTCCATAATGTACTATTTATAAAACTTGAAAACTCAGTAACTGAATTCATTAAATTATGGTTTTCCAAAAACGAGTTTAATACACCAGGCAATTCAAAATACTTTTTGAATTGAAATTTTAGAGGTAATTAAACACCTTTAACTTTTTTTTCATCGATTGTGTTTGAATTGTTAATAACAGTATTTTCAATTGTATTATTTATAGTAACTATTTTAGATTGTTCATATAAATTATTTAATTTCAAATTGTTTTAAAAATTTGTATTCAGTATCAATGTTTTTAAAAGGATTTTTACAGAAATCAATTATTTTTATAAGTGAATTTTTTATTTCTATTTGTAAAGGGTCAGTACTTATTACAATAGTAAATATACAAAGTAGTTAATATTTTTGATTCAATTTCTTCAGCAATACAATTAGTTAAGACGGTTATATTTTTCTGTACCTCAGTTGCATATTTCCTAAAAAAATTTATTTTGCTATAATAATGTTAAGAAAGTTGTAATGCATGATCATTTAGGTAATTCAAATTTATTGGTTGTAATGAATTGATTCATTGACATCCAACAATTTTTTTTTTTATTGATTGAAGCAAAATGTGGATCATAACTTTTCTGATCATTATTTTGTAGTTCTAATTTCATATATTTCGAAAATAATCGAAATGAAGAAAAACGTTGTTTACATTTGGGTACACAACATGAATATAGACTGATTGACTTAATAGAATGAACATTTTTTAAATGTACAAATAATTGTTCTAGCTCACTTAGTTTTAAATTACAAACAAAACAATAGAAATTAATTTTAATTTTTTTAGATATTAAATAATGAAAAAAACTTATATTAAAACTAGTTCTTAATAATACTTAAAAATGTGATAATGTGAATCATAAAATATAAACAAATTATTGTTTTTTTAAATCTGATATTTAAGAAATAAGTGAAAAACATTGTATATGACTGTTTGTATCTATTTGAAATATAAGCTTTTGAATAAATGTACAAACTAGCTCACTTTAATATGGGTATTTTAAATTGAATACTTGAAATATTTTAAAGCATACGTCGATAGCGCGAAAAATGTTGTTAAATTTGTAATAGGTTCCAAAATAATAAACATAGAACTCATCACAACTTACATAATTTAAACTAATGATGCAAATGAATGGCTGCAACTTTTGTTTTGTATTGAAACAATGATCAATTCGATTTTGTATTTGAACATATAAGTCATTCGATGTTGAAACATAGAGCAAAAATGATTCTCGTCCATCAGCAATTGATGTTTTGATGTAACGTTTTCTTTTTGTTTCCCTGTTTGTATAGCTTGTCTAGGATGTTGGTACAATTAGTGAATTTAGCAATGTAAAAATTAAAACATTTTTTATTTCTGAAACAAGATAAAAAATAAAATAAATTGTTGCTTAAATATTCCAAACAACTGTTGAACGAAAAGTACACATCAATAATATACTTAAAATTATAATATAATATTGAAAACAAATATTTTAACTATTAAAATTTAAAATTAAATTTTGTAAATAATAATAAATAATAATAATTCTAGAAGCTCAAGCATCTGTTTAAGAAGATCTTTACTATGTCCATCTTTTATTTTAACTGTCATAAAAGATATTATCATTGATTATAGAATAGACAGATGAGCCACGCTGTAGAAAAAACCGGTCGCCAATTCCGGACTGTTGGCCGTTATAGAGCGCTGTAGTCGACGACTGTCAAGCAGTGCGGTGTACACTTCTCCATACTATGGCAGGGTGTTATATTTTCATGTACCCCACTAATCTCTGGACTATAAATAACTTATCAGTGAACTATTTTAATAATATCATTAATTTGATAGATTATTATATAAATACTACATAATATCTATTATAAAACCAATGATATTAATGATATTATTATTATTGATATGACTATATGAATTGTAAAACAGGACTGTGGTGTATGGTGTAAGCAAATAATTTCAACTAGCTCGCCGAGTAACCATAATTTAATATAATATAAAAAAAATAAAAATATATATAAATCCTTATACTTATAATATATATAATATATATAAAAATAAGTCCGGTTTTCCTCCCTGACGCTATAACTCCAGAACGCACGAACCGATTTCCACGGTTTTGCATTCGTTGGAAAGGTCTTGGGCTCCGTGAGGTTTATAGCAAAGAAAATTCTGGAAAATTCAGGAAAATTCAACAGAAAAGTGGGGAAATCGTTTTTCACATACAGCGCCATCTATTATACATAGCATGTACTTCAAACCAATAGCAACGGTGCGTGATAAAGTGTGTGATAGATAGTCATTATTCTCTGCTCAGTTAATTTCATTTAAGCTCAGTGTAAATTATGTGGATCGTGCATTTGAAGTTAAATTCAACACTCTGTCCATAGTCCAAAATGCCTAGAGAACGACGTGCGAACATCGGCCGCCGCACAAGACATGCAAGCCAGCAACAAGTCTATTCAAGGAACTTAAGAGAAGAAAGAAAAAATATAATAAGAGAAAATGACCGATTGAGACATCGCGTGAGCACACGAAGATCATTGGCATCATACAATCGCTTGGCATTCCAATATGATCCCACTGCGAACTACAGTGATGATGAAAATTTGGATATTGGACGAATGACGACTATATACCGATATTGCAATGCGGTAAAGTTCAAAAGAGAAACGGTTGGATTGTGCTGCGCAAGTGGAAAAGTCAAACTGGATCCATTACTTACACCACCACAGCCACTGAAAACATTGTTTGATGGAAGTGATCCCGATTCCAGCCATTTTCTTCAACACATCCTTGAATACAATAACTGCTTTCGCATGACTTCCTTTGGAGCTAATATCATTCGAGAAGGCGGCTTCATGCCGACTTGCAAGGTAAAAGATACAACACACATAACCAACACATAATTGCAACACATAACAACTTCATATACACCACACACTACACCATCACACGATTTACAATGTATTCATGAACAAATTTTAATGATTATTTGCAATTACAGATACAAGGTCAAATATATCATTTGCATGGTTCAATGGTGCCAACACCAGATGAACCGCATCAATTTCTGCAAATATATTTCATTTCGTCGATGGTGGATCAGCTGAACGTGCGGTGCAATATACAGGGAGCACAACAGTTAAAGAGACGAATTATTGAACAGTTGCAAGCATTTTTTCACGCTAATAATGCTGTGGTTAATATGTTCAAAACAGCATTGGAACGAATGCCATCGGATACGCACAAATTTGTCATAAGAGCGGATTGTACTCCAACAGGTGAACATGTGCGAAGATTCAATGCACCCACCGTTAATGATGTTGCTGCAATTATTGTTGGCGATCCAACTAAATCACGAGACATTGTCGTTCAGCGAAGAAGCAATATCATGCATCGTGTAAACGAGACACATCGTTTGTACGATGCGTTACAATATCCAATGATTTATTGGCAAGGGCAAGACGGATACGACATCACGTTGAAGATGGTCGATCCAATTACAGGTACAATATTCACACACTAATTATTTCCATTATTACTTTTATTGGTTTCCATTAACAATTCATTTAATTTTGCATTTTCAGGAGTATCAACGAATAATAAAAATCTAAGCGCAATGAATTACTATGCGTATCGTATAATGATTCGTACACATGAGGAGAATGTCATTCTGAAGTGCGGTCGGCTATTCCAGCAATTCACTGTCGACATGTATGTCAAAGTCGAGACCGAACGTTTAGCGTTCATCAGATTCAATCAGCCAAAGCTACGATCTGAGAACTATATACACTTGCGTGATGCTATTCATTCAGATGGTGATGTTCAGAATATTGGACGACTGACGATTCTCCCATCAACTTATATCGGAAGCCCACGCCACATGCACGAATACGCTCAAGACGCTATGACGTACGTGCGAAATTATGGAACTCCGGATTTATTTATTACGGTCACATGCAATCCGAAGTGGACGGAAATTGAACGCGAGTTGGAACCGGGTCAAAAACCGCAAGATCGCCATGACATAATCGCCAGAGTATTTCAGCAAAAACTCAAGGTTATGATGGATGTGCTTACTAAGTATCGAGTTTTTGGTGACACACGTTGTTATATGTACTCGGTGGAATGGCAGAAGCGTGGACTACCGCATGCTCATATCCTAATTTGGTTGCTGAACAAATTACATTCAAATGAAGTGGATGACATCATATCAGCTGAAATTCCTGATCCAGTCACTGATCCCCGTCTACACGACATTGTGACGACACAGATGGTGCATGGACCGTGCGGTGCATTAAATCCATTATCGCCTTGCATGGCTGATGGAAAATGCACAAAACGATATCCGCGACCGTTAGTTGCTGAAACAGTCACAGGGAACGATGGATATCCAGTTTATCGTCGGCGTTCAAAAGAAGATAACGGTCGAACTATCAAAGTTAAAGTTCAAAATCAAGAGATTGAGATCGGAAATGAATTCATTGTACCATATTGCCCGCTGCTATCACGAATTTTCGAAACACATGCAAACGTTGAGAGTTGTCATTCGGCCAAATCAATCAAATATTTGTGCAAGTACGTCACAAAAGGCAGCGACATGGCTGTGTTTGGTATTGCGTCGGAAAATGTGAATGACGAAATCAGCAACTTCCAAATGGGCAGATACGTCAGTACTAATGAAGCACTGTGGCGATTATTGTCATTTCAAATTCATGAAAGATATCCCACAGTTGTACATTTAGCAGTGCATTTGGAAAATGGCCAAAGAGTTTACTTCACTGAGGCTAATGCGGCACAACGAGCTGAGAGACCACCATCGACAACATTGACTAGCTTCTTTGCAATGTGTGAAGCAGATCCATTCGCAGCGACGCTGATGTACGTTGAAATGCCCAAGTATTACACTTGGAATCAATCAACAAAGAAATTCCAACGTCGCAAACAAGGAACCCCAGTTCCAGACTGGCCACAGGTGTTTTCAACTGATGCACTAGGTCGTATGTACACTGTTCATCCTAGAAACGATGAATGTTTTTATTTGCGACTGCTGTTAGTAAATGTACGTGGACCGAAATCATTTGCGCATTTGAAAACTGTGAATGGCCACCAATGCCAAACATATCGAGAAGCATGTCAACTATTGGGTTTGCTGGAGAACGATTCTCATTGGGATTTAACACTTGCAGATTCAGTTGTTTCATCAAATGCGTACCAAATACGAACGCTGTTCGCAATTATCATCACCACATGTTTTCCTTCACAACCAATTCAGTTATGGAACAAATACAAAGACGCCATATGTGAAGATATCTTGCATCGCTTGCGTATTCAAACGAATAATCCTGACATCCAAATAACCGATGAAATCTACAATGAAGGATTGATTCTGATTGAGGATCAATGCTTGACTATTGCAAACAAGCTACTGATTGAAGTAGGAATGATTGCGCCAAATCGATCGATGCACGATGCATTCAACCAAGAATTAAATCGAGAGCTGCAATACAATGTTGATACATTGCAGGAATTCGTTAGAAATAATGTTCCGTTGCTGAATGAACAGCAAAAACAAGTATACAAAACATTAATGCAAGCGGTGGACAATAATACTGGTGGTCTATTCTTCCTGGATGCACCTGGAGGAACAGGGAAAACATTTGTCATTTCATTGATTTTGGCCACTATTCGATCAAGATGTGACATAGCTTTGGCGTTAGCATCATCTGGAATTGCGGCGAC